CGAGGCGGATCGTTTATGTAATTTTACTGTAAGATTGGTGCCCTGAACCCGCTGCTCAGTCCTAATTATTAACTTTTCTTTTACGTTATTGTGAAACAGATAAAACTATTGTTACTATCTAAATTAAAATAGTGTTTATTGTGATCATTGTGTTTTGTGCTCGCATTTTACCCTCATGACGCCCACTAAGCCCGCAATCACTAATGACGATGTCGGCGATGACAATGTTTCTCCGACATATATATAGATTACTTATTCATGAAGATTCATTCTTATTTGATTAAACTGATTTATAGAATGCAAGCTCGGTCATCAAGAGCCACATTCAAAATTAAGGACTGAGTTCGCCTAATGATGTGGTCAATTTTTTCTAAAAGAAGGGGTGCAGACCAGAGTTGGGTCGAGCGCAAATAGTACATAGTTTTTTATTGAAAGTTTATAGTGTAAGTATTAGTTAGTAACTGTTGGAAAAAAGGAAAACTAAAATAAAGGCTGCTGTAACCGCTTGCCGCGCAACGTGTAGTGTGTTCGATTCTCGCACGGAGCAACTCTTTATGTGATCCATAGTTTTTTAAGTCTATCTGGGTCACTAGACCTAATTCTTGAGCAAGAGTAGGAACGGGGTGGTTTTTACTCAGTAAGAATCTGACACTCTCTCGTCAAACCCAAGGCAGGAAATTTCATTAGATGATTTTCCCCCCTCAAAAATACTTTTTCGTTATTGATTTTTTTGACTTATAGTCGTAAGTTTTACAAAAAAAGCCAGCTATGTATGACAAAAGTAGCATTGCCTTTATTTTCTTAGTGTTGTTCTCTCAAGAAGTGGCATTGTATGTTATTATTGAGAACTAGATGACCCGGTAAATTTCGTACCGCCTACAATTTTTTCTCATCCTTTAAACCTAACCTGGACTTCCACGAATATTTCAAGACCAAAATTAGCCAAATTGGTTCAGCGTGACTAACGAACAGCGATTCAATTTTATATATGTATTGAGAATTAAGTTTCTTTGCCATTTTTAAACCTATAGTGGGTGGACGGCTTGTGTCAAAAATTGAAACTCCAAAATGCGTCTTTTATACATTTATTTATTGACTATATACTTTCTCATACATTGACTAAAACTAATTCATGCAACATAAAATCTTATTTTCAATTATGATATAAAATCTTATACAATATTTATTTTAATACTCCGTGAAGCAACAGCGCTGACCTCAAAGGTCGTGTTTAGGCACTTTTTAAGGCACCATTTAACTTTTCAAGTTGTCATACCAAACTTTATGGGGGTCACAAGCCCCAAGTCATAAGGGGTCATTACTTGAGTAAAATCCCCCTAAATTAATTGTAAATAAAATCAATTTGTAATAAAACAACATTTATGTCGCCGATCGGCATCACTTATACAAGTATTTCTATCTAAATAACATTAATAATCTGTGATAACATAACAACCTAAATTAAAGCTAATAATTAAAATAAAATGGTGAGTAGCTGCCTAATTTTATGACATCGACGTGTAGCGAGACTACAAATATAGTATTTATAACCCAATTTAATTAGGTTAGACGTTCCTTAATTACATTTGGCATGATTATAATATCAATAGGGTAGTAGGGTTCTAAATTCTATTCCAATGTCCGTTTGGTAGAAACATTAGACACATATTTTATCTTTTCTCACAAAATTAATACCATGGCAACTACCCTATTATATATGTTCTGTTTTACATGTAGTGTAGAGAATATCCAGTCAACAAATATAGTTTAAATGTAGAGGACATAAGTCTACAATACTTATATTAAAAATGCAGTCTCGCTGACATAATAAAAATAATAAATATAACCGCCACTAAACTCCTGGCTATACACAATTAAACTAGTGACACTAAAACAGCAAATCCTGCTCAAATTATATTTAATACAGACTCCATTAATTAATAATAAACATTACAATACTTTTACAATAATGAAAACTCGATTTTCTCACATTGTACTTAGTTTTGACAGGTTTCCGTATACAAACATTATTTCATCCACTTTAATGTTTATTCGTAGATAAAAAAATTCTAAGCTGATATCTTAAAAAATATATTAAAAAATACATCTTGAATATAGCAAGACTGTTTTGTTAAAATGCAAGTTTTCATCGTCGCAAAAATACATTTTAAAAAGTAGAGTATTTTTATCCTAACAGCAGTTCCGACGTACTGCTTATATATTCTTATAAAGTATACAGTTAGATATACATAGATATTATTTATATAACATTAGACAAATTACAACTATTCTGACAAGAATTATTATCACCAAGACCTCTACTGCTGAACATAGGCCTCCTCCGATAACTAAACATTGGTTGATTGAAAGCGACCTGCATTCAGCGGTTCCCTGAGACCTTTATTAGATCATCTTAATACCAATATTTTAACAGAATATCCTTTAAAAAGTCCAGGACAGTTCTTTATCAATGTAGGTAGTGGTTGGCACTGAATCTTAAGTGATCAATTCCCAAGCAGTCACGCGGTGAGAAGAGGCCTTTGGTCAGCAGTGACCACTCATAGGCTGTTGATGATGTCAGTATTACGTACATCTACCGTCCACAACCCGTTAAGAGACAAAAATATTCTTGTCAAATAGTTGAATTAAAACATTTGTCAAACATTATTACACAAAACGGTACTTAGTCTACTAGACAATTCTACAGACAATGAGTAAAAATGATATTTATGAGATGATATAAAATGAAAACAAACACTCCACATGGCCCCTATTTTCAAAGAAACCTCATTCCTTCTATGTCAAAGCCTATTTTTGTAACTGCCTTTAGCCAAACGCCACTTTAGCGCTTGTCTACAGAGAGAGTAGAAATCAAAATGTATGGGGATGACACTGACAAGGTGTATGGGGATGACAATGACAATTTGGTTTTCTATTCTACATGTAGACAAGCGCTAAGTGGCATTTGTTGGCAGTATATATTTTATTGGGTGAATAAATGTACCTACTTTTACATTAAAAGACCAGCTTTAAATATAAAAATAGCCCAATATATGTTATTTTTTATCCTTGCAATGGATACAATGATAACTTCGAGCGTCTGACTTCTTGCCATCCCGAAGCAACCACGCCCCGAAAGGAAACATTTATTTTACAAATCTCTGATAGGTTTAATCTACTAGATAATTCATACAAATTCAATTCCTGTTCTTAAGTTATCTGATAGATAAATACCTAACAGTTGGACTGGACTTAAAGTAAGTTAATATACAATAATTAACATAGTCAGGTTTTTATAGTCATATATAGACTAAAAATAATATGAATAAGACAAATCCGTGTTTCATTTTACGTCTACATCTATATAGACGATATTTTTGACTATGCCAAGAACCACAAACAATATAACAACTAGACAATCTAATTGCTTAACAAGAATATCAAATTCATTTTGTTTAGAAACATCAAATTTCTTTTACACCAAACTTGCGCTAAAAAGCGCAAATAAACGTCAAAAGTTGCGCATACATGCGCAAAAATGCAATTTAAAGATGGAGAAATCATTTTATTAACTTTTTCAGTATATTTATAATACTTATATAATTTGTTTTTATATCGAGGTAACAAGCTTATAATTGTCGTGATGTAAAGCAGTTACTGTAGCCTATGTACTGGTTATACACCAAGCTATGAAAAACCAGTATAAAATGGCCGTCGAAGGCAAGGAAAGACCATACAAAGCCAGACCATGATATGATTTTGTATCATCAGTTTGGTGATCATCCGTGTGTACGCCTATAAAATATAACGTTACGCCTTCTAATTCCTAAGGCGTAGGCAGAGTTCGACGTATTTAATTCATTCATATTTATGAATATGATAATTTCATTGAAATTTTCTTTGTATGCCTTTCTTTATTACTTAGGATTGACATATTTATTTAATTTAAACTCCCTTATCTTTATTTATTACATTGTTGACCTTATAAAGCTTATTGTGGACAAAAAGCATGATTTTATTATATAGAATTTGTGATTTTGATCCTATATACACTTTGTAGTAAGATAACAACATGAAATAACAACTTTAGTACATTCTTTTAAAGTTCAATTTGTTTACAAATCAACATGTCTGTCGTTTTACAAAGAGTTTGTATAGCCTGCTGGCACTTATCTAGGAATTTAAAGATTAACGTGTTAAAGTGTTACTTTGTAAACCATTCTCAGATATAAATATCATTGCATTTCATTTCAGTGAAACAACTATTCCTGGAATCGTCTTATTGAGTAACGCTTGAGTATTTAAACAAAATACAATTTAATTATACACAAGTTGTCATTTCATAATTATACCTTATCTTATATCTTCACGATAGTTAGTTGTTGTTAGTAGCGCAGAGGAGTAGAGCGCTGCAGTCGTCAACTCTTTCAAGACGGTAGAACGAATTGTCCGGCATGTGACGAACGAGGTCGTCTGTGAGACGGACACGGGCCCCGTTCGGTCCCGAAACTAGTACGGTTTCACACTCCTGTGGACAAAGGATGTATTTGTTAGTTGGATTTTGAGATAACCAAAATAAGTTACGTACACCCGAATAATGGAGGTATTTCACGAAGCGCAACTAAACGAAGCGCACCCAGACGAAGCGCAACTAAACGAAGCGCACCCAGACGAAGCGCAACTAAACGAAGCGCACCCAGACGAAGCGCAACTAAACGAAGCGCACCTAAAGTATTACACTTAATAGAAATATCGATATAAGAAAATATTTATTATTTAAAAGATTTCTAACATCATTCAGTTTCATTATATTTGATATTTGTCCATATTTTTATTGTAATTATGAAACAATCTGTAATTTTTTATGTTAAAGTTGAGTATTTTTATTATTCACTAAACATGTAGCTATAAGAAAACTTCAACATAGATCTTTATGTAAAACCATATTTACAATGTTTTTGATATTTGTCCAAGTTTTTATTGTAATTATGAAACAATCTGTGATTTTAAATAGTAAGATTACATACAAAATCAAAATGACAAATATTGTGTGTACCTCGAATAATGAATAGCTACTCAAATATTACATGAATACTCAAAATAATTAAATATCGTACTATCACATCACATAGGATAGTGAGCTGTTATATTTGCTTAGGTATAGCAAAAACGCTTAAACGCAACGCAATATATTTACCTTAGAAGCATGCACGAGCGAGTTCAACTTCTGCAAGAGCTCGTGCGCTCTGCAGGCGTGCAGGTAGAGGGCGCTGTATATGTTACTGCCGGCCGGGCATACGTACACCGTCAGGCGGGGCAAGATGCGTCTGGAAACAATAAATAATATTTAGAACCATCTACTACTGCGAGGGTCATATTCATGAGCAGCATTCGTCGACCAGCGACGCGATGACTGTCGCGCTGGTACTAGTCATCATCAACAGTCTATAAATGCTCACTGCTGAGCAAAGCCTCTTCTCACACGGAGAAGGTGTGAGCATTAATCACCACGTTTGCTCAATGCGGGTTGGCGATTACAAACTTGCAATTAGAAATTATAAGCCTAGGTTTCCTCACAATGTTTTTCTTCACCGTTTGGCAGTGGTGTCTAGATAATTTTAGAAAGTATATATAACTTAGAAAATGTCACATTGGTACTTGCCGTTGGTAGGTTTCGAACGCGCACCCTCATACATGAGACGCGGGCATCTTACCTCCGGGCCACCACGACAAGTACTAGTAACAGTAGCAGTATAGTAACTGCTACACGAGAAGCTAGTCGAGTTCCTCGTCAAATAGTTACGAGAGTAAGCCGAAAGCATAATAATTAATTTAGTATGTCTCACGAAACGTTGTCAAACAAGAGGTCGAACCAATACATTAACTCCTTACGTGATGAAATCTAGATCAATATAGAACACTAAAATTATCCCAGCATCTGATATCTATTTGTAGATATTTTGGACTGACTCCAAATTGTAGCGTCACTGTCATACAATTAGAAACTGCAATTACAGTACATAATACAAAACAAACATAATAACTACGACTTTTTATGGTCTAAGGAGGTGAGCAGAAAAGGTTACAAGTCGGGGTGCCCCGGATGTTTAACTTGACCGCTTCTCATTCGAAACCTGGCGAGATCAATGTTACTTTTTCCAACTTATATGTACTTTCTAAGATTATTTAGATACCACTGACAAACTGTGAAGGAAATCTGGGCTTATAAAGTCTAATTATAAGTTTTAAATCGCCAACCCGCACTGAGCAAACGTGGTGATTAATGGTCAAATCTTCCCCGTGTGAGAAGAGGCCTTCGGTCAGCAGTGGCCACTTATAGGCTATTGATGACGACAAAATTGGTATATCAGTAGAAGCATGATGATAAATAGATTTAATGTTAGGTTCACTTACTTGGCATGCAGCGCGTTGAACAGACGGATACCGTCAGGGAGTCCGCAAATCTGGATTATATCGTCACGGGTCAGCCTGAGCAGATCAGCTCCCGAGAAGTTGGTGAATGTGGCAGCGTGGTGGGAGAAGCGGTGTCTCGCCAACCACGCCTGTGTCTCCGAGGAGCTCGCTTCTTTGGACAGACCAGAGTTCTGTAACAAAAAATAAAAATTGTCAGACAATAGCCACGTTGCTAATAATGCTAAAGACACGAATGCACGGTTGGTGCGGTGCCTGGGCTGACTGGCTGCAGCGCAACGTGTAAGTAGCGGTTTCGATACCTGCACTGAGCAACTCATTTGTGTATGCCACAAATTGTTGTTCCGGATCTGGGTGTGATGTGTATGTGAACTTGTATGTTTGTAAACACACCCACGACACAGGAGAAAATCCTAGTGTGAGACGTTTTCTCTAAAAAAATATATATAAAAAAGCAATGGAATAGTCGCGGAGAACCTTTAAGACCTTTTAAACCATTGAACCTATTTGGTGAAATTCGGTACAACGATAGTTTGAGACCCGGGAAAGGACATCTAAAAGTTTTTAACCCGAAAAACCCACGAAACCGGGAACTGTGCTGTTAAAATCACTATATCTATTTGATTGAAATGCGATACAACATTGATTTGCAAACATAGAATAGTGAAACCTCACGAGACGGGCACTGTACGGGTAAAACCTCTATGGGATTGTTTATTTTAGAAACCACGAAAATAAATTCATTTCTCAATAAATATAACCTAGGTACTGAATCGATTGTGATGATATTTGTTCCAGTTGTACAGCCATAGAATATACCTTGACAAAGACTAATTTAAAAACCCAATTTATACAAAAGTCGCTATTTCACGCGGACGAAGTCGCGGGTAACAGCTAGTTTTCTTTTATTTTACACTCAAAATACATATATTATGTTTATAACACAGAAGGATTGTGTTTACCTGTACCTTTTCAGGATCTTCAGCGGGTTGCGGCAGGTCGGGCAGTATGGCGCCGGGCGAGTGGCACGGCGGCGAGTTCACTTTCACATCGTTCGTCCTGGGGACAACATCATACACTTGTTTTTCAATCATTATCACAGTACATATCATATACATTTATATTTAAGCATTACGTTTTTTTTTATTTTTGTAACAGTACAAAAGGTTAGGGAGCCTGGGCTTAACGACACAGGGAATTCCTAGTGTGAGGTCCAGGATATAACAAAATTGTAATATTTACTGAAATAAACATTATTCTTATTTAGTTTTATGTTAAAGTTATTTGTAAAAATACTCCTTATTGGATACTCTTTTAGAGAAGACAATTAGCACTTTTATGCCGGAATACTGAAACGATACTCAATTTTAAGTCGCGCTTAAGAATACTTCTGTCTCTACAAATTCTTTGTAAAATGACAGAGATGGCCCGACATTTAAGCTCGACTTAAAATTGAGTAACGTTTCAGTATTCCAGCATTAGTCTTTTAATTTAAACCGTTCTCAAACTTCGTTCTGGTGAAAATCATACCACAATCAGTTTAGTTGTTTTTTAATTAATCGCGAATAGACAGACAGACGCAGCGGGGGGTCATTATTTTAAACAATCTACAAAATAATGATAAAACTGGGATTATAGGATGTTTTAATAGGCTCACCCCATATTACACGGGACGTAGTGAAAAGTGGGTGCTACATTGTACAATGGCATTAAGTGCCTTAATGTGCAGTTCTGCCCCTTCGGGGATAAAAGGCGTGATGCTATGTGTATATGTACCTATAGGAATTTAAAAAAAACCTCGTCTAGTGATAGAACTCAAAATCACATGCATGACAGTCGCATTAACGACAACTTAACTGATATAGGCAGTAAAGAATTCGCGAAACTTTAATACAAAATTATCATAGAGTTGCTTACTCGTTCTTCTCCATAGGAATCTACACTTTGCAACGAGCAAATAGCACTTTTAATATTAATATTTAATTTTTTACACTCCTTCAATTTTGAGAACTGTTTGTAAAGTCCCGAGTTCGATGACTGAGCAAGTGCGATCACATTAATCGATATTTTCATCATTAATCATTCATTCTGATAAAAGTGTAGAAAGCAGATTATTTATCACTATGACAAATTTAATTTTACGTAAATTTTAAAATAATTAAATTACTCCTTCTATTCGCAGAAGTGCTACTCCGAAGGAAACGTATGCCAATCCCTTGTCAAAAATAGGACACAATTACAGATTCAACAAGTGCTGTTTTGTTCGATTCGAAAATCTAACCAAAGACGCTTTGCTCTGCAGAAAACTATGCAGATGAATCTCATAAAAATCACACATCTTTTTTAACATTCAATAACTTGTATCGCCCTGGGTGAGGCGAGAGGGACCCTCAGACTCTTGGGTACTGACTAATAAATACCACCCCGTTCTTCTCCTGCATAGAGCCGGAGCCAGGGTATCAATCACCGCGGGCCGATCTCCGGCCACCGAGACAATCTACGGCCGCCGAAAGCATGGGCGAGCAAGGGTAGCTCGCCGCCCAATCAGTACCAGACCCGAGCGTCGCGTTACGCGCGCGCCTCAAAGAGCCATCAGACCACCACATGGCTAAAGCCGATACGGGGCCGCGGAGGAGTTAACGGGTCGTCGGGGGGCTCCGGCTCATAGTCGTATAGTGCAGGAGTAGGAACGGGGTGGTTTTTAGTCAGGAAGAGTCTGATCTCTCGCCTCACCCAGGCGGAAGATATCATTAGATGATTTTCCCCCTCAAAAAAAGGCGTAAAAATCACAGATCCAGTAGTAAATAGAGCAACGACATGAGAAGTGTTGCCAAAACTTTGTTTACTAATGTGTATTTAGAACCGGCCTTCATGAACGACCGGTAAACGTCTACATGAACTATTTATGTTTCCATTTTATTATATTGGAGCTTTTCCTGTTTCTTTTATTGGTGGTTTTTTATGCGGGGGCAATTGGAAATCTGTTGTAATGAGTTGTCTGTCAAAAATTAGGATTAATGCAAAGATTTACGCAACTTTATTCTCCCCCCTTTACACAAATCGGATTGCTATCCAATTGGATGGCCTGCTGGCCAGCAGCGCTCTCGGATTAACTAGGACCTTTTATATTTTTTAAACCCAATCCCTTCCCTCTCCAATCTCCCCATTCCTTGAATCCCCTACAATTCTCAAACTCCTAAACCCCAAAAGGCCGGTAACGCACTTTTATTGCCTCTCGTGTGCCAGATGTTCATGGGCGACGCCGATTGCTTAGCTTACCATCAGGTGACCCGTCAGCTAGTTTACCGGCTTATCCCATAAAAAAAATATACCAGGACGGTGGCAAGAAAAGCACATGGCCCACCTGATGGTAAGTGGTTACCGTGGTAAGTGGTACATGTGCCTAAGATGGATGTTATTTACAGCTATGTATTAACAATTGAGTGTTTGTGGGATAAGGAGCAAACTAGATGCATGGTAAGCGATCAGCCTCGCACGAAGGTCACCCGCCTCCAGAGAATAGGGTAGATGACTAATTTTTATTTTATTGTCCGTCTGGTAGATTATTTTAAAACATTACACACGTATTTTTTATTTTTTTACGGAAACGAATACTTTCGACGATATATTGATTTGAAATGTCGCGTGACGTCACTTCTATGTACATTTTATATGTAGAAATGACGTTTTAGCCCCCACTCCTAAACTTTGATTCGATTTATCTAAGTATTGTTTTATTATACGACAAAATAAAAAATACGTGTCTAATACTTTTTCATTACCTAACTGACGGACTAATTAGATTTTTAATTTTCATACCCTGTCATCATCCCCATTGTTGCCAGCCTAGTAGTAAATGCACGCGTCAATAAAATAAACTATGAAAAAAAAAATACTCACTCTTGGCCATACGAGGTCTTCATTTGATTGTTAGATGCGAGTATTGCTGAAAAATAAAACATACATTTAGTACTGTCTGGCAGAGTGGTCGCACTTGGGACTGCCGGCAAGGGATCTCGGGTTGGATTCCCGGGTCGGGCAAAGTATTATAGGTTTTAAAAAAAATTTTAGCAGTAGCACGGATTCTGAAATTTTGCCCGGTATATGGCAACAGGCTCACCCCTATTACATGGGACTCATAACTTAAAATAGTGAAAAGTGGGTGTTACATTATACAATGGCATTAAGTGCTATAATGTGCCTCTAATCCCTTATGATAAGTTACTTAGTGTAATAAAATCGTAAAACAATCAAAACTGCACAATAACTGTATTATACTATATATATATATAGATTAATAAACTCACCATTATGTGCTAATACTGGCTTGTTGACCATTATTGGGCTAGCGACCGTCTTTGGAGCCACACTGTAACAAACACATACACATTAAATACATTGACAAGAACCAAACTTTAAGACAAATCTAATATAGTGGAATAGGTTACATAACTAGGTGATATCTAGCCTATTCCGAAGCCTATAGTAAACATAATGATATAACTTAATGGCAACAAAATTGTAAATTAGGTATAGGTTTTAATGAATAATTTTTTATAGAACTTATGTTGCCGACTTCTAACCTCAGTGGGTGGGTAACCTATCAGTGCGTGGATATTGAATGAACTAAATAGTATTGAATTTGGCTTTATGCTCTGTACTTTAGTCGCGGAGAACCTAACGGGTAACCGGGGCTCAGGCTCGACGTGCAGGAGAAGGAACGGGGTGGTTTTTAGTCAATAAGGGTCTGACACTCCCTCCCGCCTGGGTAGGCGGGAGCAGTCAGTACTTATAATAGTTATTTTTTTTCTTTTCAGTTTTGACTTTTTGTTTGTTATTAGTCTTTTAATTACATATTTAACCTTCCAGAAGTACCTAAGCTATGTGTAAACGGAATGCTCCCGAAAAACGCCGACAGATAACAGTAATAATACAGTTTTATTTTCATAAAAGTTAGGAATTAACTCGTCGAGTACCGTCATTATAGACACAATTATAGAACAATAGGTTGCGGTCACCGGCGACCGCTTGGTGTTTGACAGTTTAAATGTTTCTTTTATGTTAAAGTTTTCTTTTTCCGTCTCCTTGAACAAATATTGGTAATACATTGTTCTCACATAATTGAATTCAACGAAAGAATGTAACCAAAAATTGTATTGTGAACATGATTGAACAAGAGTAACCTATGGAGTTTCTTGTTCGTTCTTCTCTATAGGAATCTACACTTTGGAACGAGCAAATAGCTTCACTAGAGGACTGACCTACAGACTGACATTTTTCTTATTATTTAACTAGCTTTTGCCCGCGACTTCGTTCGCGTGGAATAGTGACTTCCGGCAGATTTTTGGTTTTAATCACATAGTTCCGGATCTTTTCAAAAATTAAATGTGGAAGATATTCTAGGGAACTCTTCAAAAATCAACATAATGAGCTCTACGTTTGAATTGAAGATATGTATACTCGCTTAGGGCATTAAAGCCGATCGAAAAAGGCGAAAATGTTGTTATTCCCTTATTTTCAAAATAATATTTTGATTTGTCATTTCAGAAAAAAAGACTGTCTCCCTTGACAAATTACCTATTCCCTTAATAACCAAGCTTAAAACTATATAATTTAGAAGGAACGATCTGATTAATTTAAAAATTAAAATGAATTTAGACATACAATTTTAGTATCTACTAATAATCGAGATCAAACTATCAATCAATCGAGAACAAACCTCAATTCCACGACAGTACCGAAGCACTCGGCCGATATCCAACCAAATGCGTGTAACGAAACCATAGCGCGATCAATTTCAATCCCAACGCCATCTATCGAGCATAGTGACAACTCGGATTATTTATCTATACTCCGTTCGGGCATTTTCTTTGTACTAAAAGTTTTATTATATTGATATTATTTTTTTCATACCTTTTAACTATTTATTTACTTTTTTCCGATGAATTAAAACAATAATATGAACCGAACTCGTATAACTATCGACACCATTGCGCGAGCACCAACTCGATATAATAGAATTATCTATGCTCCGTTAGAGCATTTTCTTTATACTAAAAGTTGTATTATATTATATTTTTCATACCTTTTTACTATTTATATACATTTTCCCGTTAAATTTTCAGTACTGAATTGATGCCGACTCTTGACCAATAGATGGCGCTGTATGTACGAAATATATTTTTTTATAATATTTTTGTAATAAAAACTACCCTATGTCCTTTCTCAAGTTCCAAACTATGTCTGTACCAAATTTCACACAAATCGGTTCAGTAGTTTAGGCGTGAAGCAAAGACAGACAGACAGACAGACAGACAGACAGAGTTACTTTCGCATTTATAATATTAGTTTGGAAGTTTGGATTTGGATTTGGATAGTTTGGATATTTAAATATTTTGTTTTGACGTTCAAAAGTGCCTTCCTGGTCTAATTGAAATAAATGATTTTGATTTTCATTTTGACTTTGACTTTGAATAACAATTGCTCAAGGCATAGGTTGTATGAATAACACGAAAACAAAAAACGTTTCTGCTTACCCCCTGTATGGTACACCACAGTCTACAAGTCGTAATTTTAGGTGTACATCGTCTGTCAATCACTCATTCTGCTATAATTTCTATTCAACGTCATACCGAAAGGCATTGTAAAAAAAATATCGATGCATAATCGTTGTTTATGCCAAAGCAGGCAGCAATTAAAAAAAAAGTAAGTTATTACGCCGTTATTTCTTACATACGAATCGTAGTGATACGGAAAAGCAAACACGTTTTGTAGTTATTCAGGAAATAAATATAGATTATATTTAATCTATTGTGTCATGTTTTGATAAGGGTATAAATACATTTATATAAATATATTACCTACATTGTTATGAGCTACATTGTACAGTGGCATAATGTACACCTCTGCCTACCCCTTCGGGGATAATAGGCGTGATGTTATGTTATGTTATGTTATGAGCTAAAGGACATACAGCCAGTCTCAATAAAGTATTTAATGTGGGACAGTCATGCTTCGGCACGAATGGGTCGGTTCGACCGGAGTAATACTACGGCCGAGCAGAAAACCGACGTGAAACAACGCTTGAGTTGTGTTTCGTCGTATGATTGAGGTTACCAGAGGCCCAATCACCTCTCCTCTTCCACAATCCCTGAATCCCTGACAATCCTTATATTCCTAATCCCCAAAAGGCCAGCAACACATTTATAATTGCAACACATCTGGTGTTCCAGGTGTCCATGGGCAATGCCAATTGCTTACCATCAGCTGTGCTGTAAAATTATACATGTGCTTATAAATAAATAAATCAGGCGATCCGTCTACTTATTTACTGAATTATCCCATAAAAAAAGGATCTGAATATTCATTTACAAGATGTATGTACATGTTTACATGAGCTCCATACAAAATGAGTACTTATAGCTCTTAATTCGTATTTGATACAAGGAGAATGTTCAAATATGTAAAATAGTTCTTTGGTTGTTACATCTCTCATCATTTTTGTTTCAATTTTTACATAATTTACAGTTAGAGAACATGCTTATTAGAGCCTGTCTTGTAGCCTATTTGCAGAAATATAAAAAAGAGCAAAGCTTATAAAATTTGCAAATAATTTTTAACCCGTCATGTGTCTAAACGTGGATCCACATGAGACACAATGTTTTTTTTATTGTGTCTCATATCGGTGCATTCAAGCATTTAAAGGTAGAACATTTTAAAAAGTCCAGCTGTATAACTCCTATTAAAAGTAAAACCATTATATAAACTGCTTGATATCTGATACAAATGGTTTGATAAGAAGTAGGGAAGGACTCAATATAGCAAATACTGGAGTTATCTACTGATAATGTAGATACTTTGCAGTAATTATAGTATTGTAATCTGATTAGCGAGTTAATGTGTTAATATTGCTATGTTGTATAACTAAAGAGTGGATTGATGCTATAATTTTTTATTCCTAAGTACATATATAACTTTTATCCCCGAAGGGGTAGGCAGAGGTACGGCACTTAATGCCACTGAACAATGTAACACCCACTTTTCAATATTTATGTTATGAGTCCCATGTAATAGGGGGTGAGCCTATAGCTATATACCGGGCACTGTTCCAGACTCCGTGCTACTGAGAATTTTGAAAAACCTCAGTAATACTTTTAATTCCTAAGTAAATAGAGGAAAATAACAGTGTTCACAGAATATTCCACCCCCAGGTTTCGGAAAGCATGTAAAGCCATTGGTCCTAAGCCTGACCTCTCTCTGGTCGTGTTAGTCTGCCATTCCATTAATCAAATATTTAAAGTCATAGTATAGCTAGTAAAAATCTGGCTAATGGCTGGGTAATTATGAATACAATGGGCGCAAATAGAACTTATAAAACAAAGTTATTTTAGGGAACTGCCACATTGGCTGAGTGTTCGCAAGTGTGACTGCCGGGCAAGGGATCTTGGGTTCGATTCCTGGGTTGGGCAAGTATTTTTAAAAAAAATCTCAGTAGTAGCATGAAATCTGGGATTGTACCCGGCGCATATGGCAATAGGCCCACCCCTACTACATGGGACTTGTAACATAAATTGTGGAAAGTGGGTGTTACATTGTACAGTGGCATTAAGGGCCGTAATGTGCATCTCTGTGTACTCCTTCAGGGATAAAAGGCGTAATGTTATGTTATGTAGACTCTAAAAGGTAATATATTATCTGAACATTGTGTACAATATAAACTTTCAGCTACTAAAAACTAGTTTTAAGGTGAATGTTCACTGAGTATGATTCAAGTAAACAATCAGAGGATGTGGTAGATGGATTGTTTTATCAATAGATGTTATATTTAGTTTTAAACTAAATAACAAACAACCTTGACACAAATACTCAATATTCTTTCAAGAATATTGTAGAATGAGCTAATATTTCTATTTGAAACTAAAGAATGTTAACATCTTTATGCATGTAGGTACACTATGTTACACGGTGGAACACACGGTGGGAGAATGCCCTTCGTGGGCTGAGCACCGCCGTGTCCTCAGGGAAGTGATCGGCGATGGCGACCTCTCGCGTCCGGGCCTAGTGCGGGCCATGATGCGGAGCGAGGGGGACTGGGATGCCGTCTCCTCCTTTTGCGAAGCAGTCATGCTAGCTAAGGAGGAGGCGGGACGCGTGAGGCAGCGAAGCGCTGCCTCCTCGCAACCCAGCCATCGCGAAGGACACACCGGGCGTCGGGGATCGCGGGACGATCTCCGGCCACCGTAAGCGCGGGCCTGCGGACGGCGAGCATGGGTGGCTCCCCGTCCGACCAGAAACAGACCCGAGCGTACGGCGCGTCGCGTTCCACGCGCGCCTCAAAGAGCCATCAGACCACCACAGATGGGGCCCAAT